TATTACTATAGTAAGCCAACCGTGTTTCAGCATCGACGATAGCGATCTATTTTGCAAACCATCTTTAAGGAGATTGTGCAACAGTTTCCAAGCCAAGAGATGAGGCGTTTTTCGAAAATGCACAACTATTTGTGATGACCGTTTTGTAGTTAGAAACTTGTGCAATTATCGTATGTTACTGATTACCTTGATATAGATTCACGCGTGTATCTCAAACGTTATATCTTTAGTGGATACACGTGTTTGAAACAGACGTCCAGTGTATTTAATCACGTGTATCTTCTCAGAATAAAGTTTGAATTAATATCTCGGATTAAAATAAATCAATGAATTCTTAAAATATATATATATTATATAACGTCATCCACAGACAGACTGTTTTGCAGCTCATCAGTGTGGCTAGACATCCGGTTGGCTCTAGCCAGTATCGAAACCCGACTGAATTGGTGTCAGTCGGAGATTCTAACCATTAAGCCGTCGGCCCATGGTAGGGATGAAAGTGAATTCTTTTAGCGTTTTTATTTTTACAAACACGCCCAGTGACCGATAGTGACTCAATTCGCATCTGCGAAGAGTCTCGCTATATAGCTATAATAGTCACTGTTTACCAACCCACACCTCGTCCCCAGAGACCTCAACTGAAATTGATATATATATATATATATATATATATATATATATATATATATATATATGTGTGTATGTGTGTGTGTGTGTGTGTGTGTGTGTGTGTGTGTGTGTAAGGTATGTCATATTTATGGGCTGAATTTTTCGATGTCCGAGATAAAATACGTGTGGCCCCTGAGCGCAATGCCAGTCACCCCAGTAATTCGTACTTGAACGTAATCTTCATGTCCTGAAGCTGGCATTCAAGCATAAAACATATTGTCTACGTCTGGTGTTCACTTTATTGTCTACTCTAAATGTGACTAATTTATTTTTTTTTTTAAATCCGTTTCCTTTTCTTCTTTCATTTGAAATATCTACTTGTTAGCGTTTCCATTTCTTTCTTTAACATTCTTTACCTCATCAATACATTTATACCTGCATTTTCATTTATCTAGTTTCAAATAGGCGAGGAATCATTTTCATGATTTGTTCATATTTCTGCTAATTTTTGTTCGAGTTTGTATGAACAAATTTCTGAAAAAAATTAAAGACGTTTTACAATTCCACAGACACTGCTGACGTTTTACAATTCCACGTACATATATTTAACCTCTCTGCTATAGAAATTAAGTGTGTGTATGCAAATTTATATAACTACTATTCCAGCGTTACGTATTTATTTTACTGAAATAATTCCTGTTTCTGCTTTAAATGCAGTCAGTGGAAGATGATTTGAAGCAATTCAACCACTTTATAGTAAAATATATTTATGTAATAAAATGAAAAAATATTTTTTTAAATTCTTTCCGTAAATTCGTCTCTACCAAAAAAAATAAAAAAATAAAATAAAAGTGGCAAATCCATTTGTTTTTCTACTTTCATTTTCGATATCTCCGTTGTCATTTTCCCCAAATACTCTTGTCGGCAGTAAAGTGAATGCATTTTCCATCAATCTTGAAGTTTTTGTTTGCTATTATTTTTGTAATTTTCTTCCCTAGCGCTTTCGAATAAACTTTCCTCTTATTCTCTATCGCTTTCCCATGCATATATAAAACTGACACAGGAGAATAAACAACTAACAGGCAGACAAACGACCAATCAAATTATTTCCTGACTTTTATTCATTCCGTTCCATATGTCGGTAGATTTTGTTCATGTTTTTGTTAAAATCACGTCTTTCGATGATTAGCATATTAAGCTAATGTAATTCAATAAATCTCTGAGGACATTAAATTTTCATCAGAATATTTAGGAACGCTAATTTTAGATCCGGCATTTATAATTTTTATAACATTTATCAATATTTGAATTTTACTCTTTTTTCTACCTTACATCTTTTGTTGCTTCTAAACATAATTCAAATGCAACAACTTTTAGAGCGCCGTGTAAAATAAATGAAACAAAGAAAGGAGAAATTGGATTGCTAAACAATAAATAATTCCGATTACCACAACTTACTTTTCAAATATTTATACTACTGTTATTAATATTAACATTGATAATAAGGAATTGGCGAGATGTATACGAAAGGACGTGCATGTTTTTCAAGAAAACCCTAATAAAGAATGCTTTGTTATACTTTATAGTCAATCGGATAATTAATTGTTTATTAAATATTGAAATCAGTTTTAATATTTGGAGTAAAATTAATTAAATATTAAATTCAGCAAAATTATTAATTTCTATGGAGTATCTTAATGTGATTTTCCACGAAGTATTTCTGCGCTGTTTTAAAAACGCATGCAAATGAATCACGTTCAAAAATATGATTGGGTAAGAGCTGTATGCTATTGGGAAGTTTTCAAATAAAGAAAGTTTGCAAGTGTAAAATGACAATTGTCTTTGGAGAGACGAAGGATTGTGAGAATGTATTCGTGCTTATTTTTGAAGAGAACAAGTGAAGTTCCCTAATCAGCCAAAGGAAATGAAGACTATATAGATTTTAGTAGAATTCAAAGCAAATTCATAATAGAGTTAGTAAAATAAATAACTTAATTAATTCATCCAAATTAATTCATACATTAACCAAAATAATCTATGAAGAATTATGCACAATACTGAAAATAATTGAAAAAAAATGTTAAAAACAAACAAAAATGTAGGAAACGGAATTTTCAATATATCTTGTCTAATCTCGTATCGTACGAATTTTTATCAGTGCTTTACACTAAAAAATAGAGGTGTCGCCTTATACAGAGGTAATCTTTTTTGGAGAGGTTAAAAATCATGACACTTCACTATGCACAGGTAAATGATTTCCTGGAGAGGATAAAATCAATGAAAAAAAATTCACGGTTCGCATTCTATATGAAATTGATTTATAAACGAATATATACAATTAGGTTTTTGATTGATTTGTTTTTTACAGCTTATCAACCCTGTGCGGGTTATCTAAAGCCAGAAAATATTTTTAGATTTTAAGATTTTTTTTTACATAATTGTTTAGAGATTTACTTACTAATTAACCTATAACTGAGTGAGAAGAAACGAGTTAATTCATTTCCAAGGGGTATTTAAGTGTAACTGAAGATAACGAAATCGACGGGAATTAGAACTCCGCTATCATATTAAAAATTCTGAATCCATTATACTACAAAATATCTAACCTAACAGCCCCTAGCATTCCAAAGGGGTCCCTCATCTAGGTAATGACAAGGGATGATATAGCTGATCCTGATCTTGCGGCCCGGTTTCAGTCACTTGCCTACCGCTGTAAGGTTGCATCACTGTGCCTTTTTTTATGTATACTTTCATGGTAATTGTTCCGATGAGCTCTTCGCTATGGTATCTAGACTTTATTAATTGAAGTGTAGTACTAGACAGGCTTCGAGACCTTATCAATTTCCAGTTGAGCTGGCTAGACGCAGCTATAAGTTTTATGCTAACATTTTTTCTCGAATTTCTCGCTTGTGGTATTTCCTCCCTGCCCCACGCTTTCCAGCCAACTTTAATCTGCAAAAATTTAAATACAATGTCAATTGATATATACTCTCCTCCTGATTACTATTTTGTCTTTCTGCTCATTACTAATATCTCTGTTCCTAATTCCTCCACAACCTGTAACCCCCATTTGTGTGGCTGTATTGCCTTGCTTGGGATGATACCGCTAAAAAAAACAAAAAAAACAAAAAAAAAAACTTGATGATCGTAGGCCTGAAATTAATTTGGAACTAGTATATTGTGAAAATTGATTGAACAAAGGACCACATAATCTTTACCAAATTATCGATACGATATTTTGCCATAGTATAAATGCTGATGGTGTTCAGAATAATGTTGGTGAATATAGTCATATTGTGATAATAATGACGTCCGATCCATAATTATGCAGAATTTCCCATTATGAAAATTATTAGAAATCATGAATTTCCTATCAAAATAAAATGGTAGAATTTTTTAAAAAACTATGACAATGTCCAATACCATTGTTAAATTAAACAGTTATTGTAAAAGTAGATTTTCCTTGTTGGCAGAGTTCCAGAATACGAAAGTATTATTAAATATATATTTGTGGATTATCACAAAAAAAAAAAAAAAAAAAAAAAAAAATCATACAATCTGTGTAGCAGTGAACTACAGAAATTAAAGTCTTGATGGACAAAATGAACTTTTGTCCGTAGTTTTCATTTGTTTTCTTATTTTTTTAACATGAATTTTGGTCAGTCTTTGTGTTGGTCAAACAGTCTTTTTTAAGTTGTTATTTATGAGCTGGATGGATTCATGCTGCTCTGAATTCCCTTGGTCATTTTGACAGTTTTATTGGTTCCTGCAAAGGGTATGTGTCTCTCTTAAGTCTGTATGTGTTGTTTGGTTCTTAGGGGAGTGAGTGAGTATGATGTGTCTATGCGTGTATATCACTATGGGTGTTATATACATACATACATACATACATACATGCATATATATATATATATATATATATATATATATATATATATATATATATATATATATATATATATCAATGGCGACCCGGCGATCGGTTTTGCCTGCACTAAATTATATCTATTTCAAAGCAACGAAAATTTTCGGAGTGCCTTATTTTCATTCTTGACTTAATTTGGATCCGAAATTAATTATTTTACCTCCGTGTCTTAAAATAGTGACTGAAATACATATATGATATAATGGAATATGCATACATTTGTGTTCCCCCCTCACTGGAATATGATTGTCTGGTGTCCGTCATCGACGGACGTGGAGTCAGAAGAGAAGAGCCTCAGTCTGAGAGCTAAGTCTAAAACGACGCCCACTGGACTACGCCATCGATCTACACTTCTTACCTGCGACTACGACGCGTACTAGTCGATTAATGCTACCGTATTCTACTTGGTTATAATAGCCAAAACCACTTAGCTACTTTGTTCAAATATATCCCTTTTCGGGACATATCACTGAGATAGATAGATAGATAGATAGATAGATAGATATGAAGACTGAGTGATATAATGGAAGATGCGTACACCTGTGTTCTCCCTCACTGGAATATGATTGTCTGGTGTCCGTCATAAATACCGACAGACGTGTAGGTACGACAGAATCAAGAGCCTTAGTCTGAGAGTTAAATCCATAACGACGCTCATTGGACTACGCCATTGATTTACACTTCTTACCTGCGACTACGACGCGTAACAGTCGATTACTGCTACCGTATTCTACTTGGTTATAGTAGCCAAAACTATTTAGCTACTTCGTTCACATATGTCCCGCAAAGGGACATATCAATATATATAGGCAAGAGTAAAAATTGTGTCATCAGCATAGATATCGAGTTGGGAGCTGAGGCCATCGCTAGGTCATTGATGAAAATTAGGAAAGATCGAAGGAGAGATGTGGGGAGACAGTTGCTTTGATACAAAAAAACCCTAAAACGTTTCATTTCGGATTCTGATAATACTGAATCATTTCAAAAATTCAGAAATACCGTTACATTTCACTTGCGAAGAAGAGACGGTTATGCCAAATGCTGTCTAATGCTTTCGAGATATGCAAGGCAAGTGTCGAAGATTCATCGTTCTTATTTAAAGGTTGATAGACTTCCAGCAATAATCATTGGTCTAGCAGCAATTGACCTAATGAAACGAACGAAAGGACACATGACAGAGTGAATAAAGGCGTTATTTAGATCCAGCGACAGGACCCAAAGAGGGTGAGTTCAATACCCGGTTAAGGCGGTGTAGAACCTGGAGAGGGGAATTAACAGGAGATAACTGTTAACTGACATCCATCGCACGTGGAACAAGAACACTTTACCCCCGCGAACGAAATAAAGGGTTCAGTTCGACATTCCAATCAGATCGGAGCGTACAACGTCGAAACGTTGTGATAAATATGGCAACAAAGTTGAGGATGATAGTTCGAGCAATGTAAATAATGAAGCGAAATCCATATTGTTTATTTGAAAGAAAGACCATTCTGTTATGCATGCGTGTTTGTTTCTCACACGTGATGAACATATTTATATTAATTTCTTGATTAAATATATTCTAAATTATGATTGTTTGAATATATATGGAAGATTTTTGTGTCAAAGAATATCCGCTTTTCTTTCCTTTGCATACAATTAATAACTTTTTGTAGCGTTAATTTACTTTCTTACTCTCAAATGAAGCCATAACTTCTTTATTCTGCTTTTTGCCTTTAGCACATCTGAAATGCAAAATTTGATTCTATAGATATTCAGCCTGCAGTACTTGAGGACAATTACGTTTTACTTAGGTTCTTTAATTTGCGAAAAAGAGAGATAAAGTGGGAGAAAACGAGAGAGAAAGAAATTGAGAGAGAGAGAGAAAATGAGAGCGACACAAAAGGAGGAGAAGAGAAAGAGAGGGAAAAACAGAAGGGAGAGAAAAGATAAAGAGACAAAAAAAGGGAGAGAAAGAGAAAAAAAACATAGAAAGAGAAAAAATTGAATCAATTTATGTAAACTTGTAAAGGTAGAACTCCGAACATGACGTGAGAAACTGCTACATTATGCATATAAAAACTATAGAAATTCTGAAATAATATGTGAAAATTTTTAGGATTGTTTACTTAGATGTGCAAGTTGTGTAATGCATAGCGGCTCGGAATAAGAGATCAGCGAACCCACTCAGAATCCATTTTCATTCGTCTCACCCTCAAATGCCTTTCACAAAACTATGAATCCATCTCTTATTCCCCGTTGCTAGGTTTTAATTGTACTGCATTCTTTATTCGTTGTTGGTCATGAGTAGGAGAACGAGACCTCCAAATTCAAGACACAGAAACATACAAAGATGATTAAACATAGGGTACAGATATGTCTGTAATGCAAAAACAACGGTAACTAATCCGACAAATGGATGCTTAGAGAGAATACTGTTAAAACTAAAGGGTATTGAGTCTAAGAGTGGTGATGTCTGTGAAGGATTACTGAAAAGGGGGCTTATATTTCAACGAGTACTATTGTATGTAAAAAGAAAAGTGAAGCAAGGCAAACTAACGCATAATGGCAATCAGAATATTGAGAAACGTGTGGCAGATTTGAGACAAGATGCAGATACGAGAATAGGTCTGAGGCTCTGATAATCTACAAGGGGGAAGACAATATAAAAGGATGAAGAGTAGCAACAGTTTAAAAAGTAAGAAATGACAACGATACTGCTGTTAATACCGGCGTTAGTTATATTAGCTACAAATGGCAAGTTAAGTAAAATAACTTACCTTCGTCACAGACAATAAACTTATTATTTGTGTAAATTTATGTTCAAATAATTCTCTTTGACGAATACACAATAAATTAATGAATGCTTCTCCTAAAAGAATAGCAATTGCGAAATAACGAATGAAGTCTTTTCATGAAATAGTCGGAAATGTGGATATTTTACAGAAAAAAGGATAGACAGTCAGAGAAAGAGAAAAAGAAAATGGAATATGAAGATGACGAGGGAGAGAGAGGGGAAGGGAGAAAGAAAAATGAAGAAAAGATAGAGGGGGTGATACATACACAGAGAGAGAGAGAGAGAGAGAGAGAGGTGAGATGGATACACATAGAGAGAGGTGGAGATGGAAACAGCGAGAGGGGAGACATAGACATAGAGAGAAAAGAGTAAGACAGAGTCAGCGAGAGGAGGAAGACGGGGACAAGGAGGTCGAGGGAGAGACACATAGAGAGAGAAGGGGAAGACGGAGTCAGAGAGACGAGCAACACGGAAACAGTGATGTGGGGGGGAGACGGAGACAGAGACGAGGAGACGGAGAAAGGGAGAGGGAAGACGAAGACAGAGAGGGGGAAAGACGGAGACAAGATGGTGGGGAACAGGCACATAGAGAGAGAAGGGGAAGACGGAGTCAGAGTCAGGAGGAAGGGGAAAGGTGGAAGAAAGTGGAAATACATAGGGGGAGACGGAAACATGGAGGAGGAAGACGCAGACGCAGAGTATGAAATACGGAATAGGGATAGAAGAGTTTCCTCTTCTATCCCTATAGCGGATAGAGAAGAGGAAAGAGAGGTAGAGAAGAGGAAAAAGCAGATAGAGAAGAGGAAAGAGAGGTAGAGAAGAGGAAAGAGCTGCTAGAGAAGAGGAAAGAGCGGATAGAGAAGAGGAAAGAGAGGTAGAGAAGAGGAAAGAGCGGATAGAGAAGAGGAAAGAGAGGTAGAGAAGAGGAAAGAGAAGAGAGAAAGAGCGGATAGAGAGAAGAGAGAAAGAAAGAACGGATAGAGAAGAGGAAAGAGTGGATAGAGAAGAGGAAAGAGAGGTAGAGAAGAGGAAAGAGCGGATAGAGAAGAGGAAAGAGAGGTAGAGAAGAGGAAAGAACGGATAGAGAAGAGGAAAGAGAGGTAGAGAAGAGGAAAGAGCGGATAGAGAAGAGGAAAGAGAGGTAGAGAAGAGGAAAGAGAGGTAGAGAAGAGGAAAGAGCGGATAGAGAAGAGGAAAGAGAGGTAGAGAAGAGGAAAGAGCAGATAGAGAGAGAAAGGAAGGATAGAGAAGAGGAAAGAACGGATAGAGAAGAGAAAAGAGGGAGAGAGTGGAGGAAGAGAAAGAGGAAAGAGAAGAGAGGAAAGAGCAGAGAAGAGGAAAGAGAGGTAGAGAAGAGGAAAGAACGGATAGAGAAGAGGAAAGAGAGGTAGAGAAGAGGAAAGAGCGGCTAGAGAAGAGGAAAGAGCGGATAGAGAAGAGAACGGAGGAGAGAAGAGGAAAGAGAGGAGAGAAGAGAAAGAGCGGCTAGAGAAGAGGAAAGAGAGGTAGAGAAGAGGAAAGAACGGATAGAGAAGAGGAAAGAGAGGTAGAGAAGAGGAAAGAGCGGCTAGAGAAGAGGAAAGAGCGGATAGAGAAGAGGAAAGAGAGGTAGAGAAGAGGAAAGAACGGATAGAGAAGAGGAAAGAGAGGTAGAGAAGAGGAAAGAGCAGATAGAGAAGAGGAAAGAGAGGTAGAGAAGAGGAAAGAGAGGTAGAGAAGAGGAAAGAGCAGATAGAGAAGAGGAAAGAGAGGTAGAGAAGAGGAAAGAACGGATAGAGAAGAGGAAAGATAGAGAAGAGGAAAGAGAGGTAGAGAAGAGGAAAGATAGAGAAGAGGAAAGAGAGGTAGAGAAGAGGAAAGAATGGATAGAGAAGAGGAAAGAGAGGAAGAGGAAAGAACGGATAGAGAAGAGGAAAGAGTGGATAGAGAAGAGGAAAAGAGAAAGAAAGAGGAAAGAATGGATAGAGAAGAGGAAAAAGAAGAGGAGAGCGGATAGAGAAGAGGAAAGAGAGGTAGAGAAGAGGAAAAACGGACGGATAGAGAAAGAGGATAGAGAAGAGGAAAGAGAGAAGAAGAGGAAAGAGCGGATAGAGAAGAGGAAAGAAGAGAAGAGGAAAGAATGGATAGAGAAGAGGAAAGAGAGGTAGAGAAGAGGAAAGAGAGATAGAGAAGAGGAAAGAGAGGATAGAGAAGAGGAAAGAGGAAAGAAGAGGAAAAGGAGAGAGAAGAGGAAAGAGAGGTAGAGAAGAGGAAAGACGGATAGAGAAGAGGAAAGAGAGGATAGAGAAGAGGAAAGAGAGGCTAGAGAAGAGGGAGAAGAATGGATAGAGAAGAGGAAAGAGAGGTAGAGAAGAGGAAAGAACGGATAGAGAAGAGGAAGAGAAGAGGAAAGAGAGGAGAGAAGAGGAAAGAACGGATAGAGAAGAGGAAAGAGAGGATAGAGAAGAGGAAAGAGCGGATAGAGAAGAGGGAGGATAGAGAAGAGGAAAGAGCGGCTAGAGAAGAAGAGAGGATAGAGAAGAGGAAAGAGCGGATAGAGAAGAGGAAAGAGAGGTAGAGAAGAGGAAAGAGAGGTAGAGAAGAGGAAAAAGAGAGGTAGAGAAGAGGAAAGAGAGGTAGAGAAGAGGAAAGAGGAGGTAGAGAAGAGAAAGAAAGGAAAGAGAAGAGGAGAAGAGGAAAGAGAGGGAGAAGAGGAAAGAGCGGATAGAGAAGAGAAAGAGAGGTAGAGAAGAGGAAAGAGCGGATAGAGAAGAGGAAAGAGAGGTAGAGAAGAGGAAAGAGAGGTAGAGAAGAGGAAAGAATGGATAGAGAAGAGGAAAGAGAGGTAGAGAAGAGGAAAGAAGGATAGAGAAGAGGAAAGAGAGGTAGAGAAGAGGAAAGAGAATAGAGAAAGGAAAGAGAAGGTAGAGAAGAGGAAAGAGGATAGAGAAGAGGAAAGAACGGATAGAGAAGAGGAAAGAGGATAGGAAGAGGAAAAGAAGAGGAAAGAAGAAGTGGATAGAGAAGAGGAAAGAGAGGTAGAGAAGAGGAAAGAACGGATAGAGAAGAGGAAAGAGAGGTAGAGAAGAGGAAAACGGAGTGGAGGAAAGAGTGGATAGAGAAGAGGCGGATAGAGAAGAGGAAAGAGAGGTAGAGAAGAGGAAAGAGAGGAGAGAAGGAAGAACGGATAGAGAAGAGGAAAGAGAGGTAGAGAAGAGGAAAGAGGATAGAGAAGAGGAAAGGATAGAGAAGAGAGGAAAGTGGATAGGAAGAGAAGAGGAAAGAAGCAGAGAAGAGGAAAGAAGGATAGAGAAGAGGAAAGAGAGGTAGAGAAGAGAAAGAGAGGTAGAGAAGAGAGAAAGAGAGGTAGAGAAGAGGAAAGAGCAGATAGAGAAGAGGAAAGAGAGATAGAGAAGAGGAAAGAACGGATAGAGAAGAGGAAAAACGGATAGGTAGATAAGAAGAGGAAAGAGAGGATAGAGAAGAGGAAAGAAAGGAAGAAAAGGAAAGAGCGGATAGAGAAAGGAAAGAGGAAAAGAGGAAAGAGGATAGAGAAGAGAAAGAGGAAAGAAAGGATAAAGAGAAGAGGAAAGAGCGGATAGAGAAGAGAAAAAGAGGTAGGAAGAGGAAATAGCGGATAGAGAAAAAAGAGGATAGAGAAGAGGAAAGAGAGGATAGAGAAGAGAGAGGTAAAGAGGAAAGAGAGGATAAAGGAAAAAGAGAGGAGAAGAGGAAAGAGCGGATAGAGAAGAGGAAAGAGCGGATAAAGAAGAGGAAAGAGTGGATAGAGAAGAGGAAAAAGATAGAAGGAAAGAGGAGAGAAGAGGAAAGAGGTAGAGAAGAGAAAAGAGCGGATAAAGAGGAGGAAAGAGCGGGTAGAGAAGAGGAAAGAGCAGATAGAGAAGAGGAAAGAGAGGTAGAGAAGAGGAAAGAGCTGCTAGAGGAGAGGAAAGAGCGGATAGAGAAGAGGAAAGAGGATAGAGAGAAGAGGGAAAGAGAGATAGAGAAGAGAAAGAGCGGATAGAGGAGAGGAAAGAGAGAGAAGGAAAGAGCGGATAGAGAAGAGAAAGAGGTAGAGAAAGAACGGATAGAGAAGAGGAAAGAGAGGTAGATAAGAGGAAAGAGCGGATAGTGCGGATAGAGAGGAGGAAAGAGCGGATAGAGAAGAGGAAAGAGAGGTAGATAAGAGGAAAGAGCAGTTAGAGAAGAGGAAAGAGAGGTAGAGAAGAGGAAAGAGCTGCTAGAGAAGAGGAAAGAGCGGATAAAGAGGAGGAAAGAGCGGATAGAGAAGAGGAAAGAGCGGATAAAGAGGAGGAAAGAGCGGATAGAGAAGAGGAAAGAGCGGATAGAGAAGAGGAAACAGAGGTAGAGAAGAGGAAAGACTGGATAGAGAAGAGGAAATAGATGTAGAGAAAATAATAATTAGTAACCGTAAAAAATAAAATATGTAAGCCTTGCCCAATGTACTTTGAACGAGGTTAAAAGCAGGGATTCATTATGCAAAAGATAGGATTTAAGTGCGTTTCCCTATTAATTAACCCACAACGATAGACACTTAGAAAATCTTCGAATTTTTGTTGGGGCATTTTAAGATGAACTGCTGATTAAAAAAAAAAGTTGTTGGGACTGTTTTTTTTTTTATCATGCCAATCCATTTTTTCTGTGTAGACTCCTATTTATATAGACATTCCCATGTTTTGCATATGGACATTATAGAAAACAAATACAAAACTTTTACAGGTTGCTCAGTCTGTTCTTATTCATTTTGCATCCCTGCACCATGATACTTTTAAGATTCGAGCCAATTTATCCAGATTAAGCGAATATCTATCTGTGTTGGCTTTGAACATTGCCAGCAGATACGCAACTAAACGTATTATGTGCAAAAAGGATTCATTTGAAAATTCTAGCCACTGATCATAACCAATAAAGTCTTGCAATATTTACGGTTATTATAGAATATACAAATGGTATTAGAAATGCCTGTGATTAATTTAGGTTATATAAAATTACATGTAATTATGATATAAATCTGTATTAATAAATATTTATTGACGCGTATACACTTAAGACATGCCTATTATCTCCATACTTAAGTTTTTGCGTGTGCCGTCATATGAATTACAAAATAAAGTGTCAATAAGTGTAAAAGCGTATACTTAGCATAAACATACGATGTCAGAATGATTAAACCGTTACCGATCTAAGCATAAGATCCTGGTTCGAATCTTGCCATAATCCATTTGTTATTGAGGTGTATTCTTGAGAATATCAACCTGATTATTTGAAAGGTTTAGTATTTACTAAGTCCAAATCTTAAATTACTAGGATGGATTCAGGGTAGATGCCATCATTACTTTCCTTCCTATTCCACTGTTTGAAAGATTATTTGTTTTATTTTGAGTTAACAGCAGTAATTAAATGGTTATTCATTAAATTTGTTCTTTATACTTTAGGCTATTTTATCTGCCGATTGTTTTGAACTGCATAAAGAATATGTACCGAAGTATGTACAATGTATCTAACCATGTTTATACTCTACTGAATCGAGCCAAAATCTTTTCAACACCTATTGTAGTTATGCAGCTTAATACAGCATCATGCCTTACATAATTCCATGGGTGAATAATTTATATTGGTGTACCTGTGCCGTGGAAAATTAGGGCAACTGTTAGAAAGATGCAATAGTGAGATACAATGAAACAAAAATCTTGAAACAGAGTATTCAAATTGAATACAGCAGAAATAAAGAATCCACAACTAAAATAAAGGCCAACGAACAACGTCCCCTTTATATTTTTAAACGTTCAATAGTAACTATGATTCATTGATTACTCATAGTATAATTTAAATCGCTTTCTGCTCAATATTTTCATCTAAATACATATATCTAATAATAGTGAAATTAAAATATCTATCGGAAAAAAATCATCAACTATACGACTAAAACAGTCAAGTATTTCATGTTGAAGCAAGACGATCACGAAATAGAAAATGATACGCTTGAACAAGTTTAATAACAATCTAAAAAAACATAGAATTAAAGGAACTGTTTAATTGAAAGATTCATTTTGCTAGGGGACTAATTTTATTTAAATGCAGATAAAGATATTATTATTATAGATTATTAAAAGGGCTAAAGAAGTAATCGCTAATGCATTTACTAATTATAAGATAATTTAACTGTCTTCCCACTACGGAAAGGGCAAGACATATATAAACAAATGGACGTTGATAGTTATTACATGGATTGATATTTGTCGAAATGTATTACTGTTGATGAAATTTCCTCGGCACGAACGGCTTTACAAAATTTGAGCCTTATTTTGTCATTTAATCAGTAAAGAATGTAACATGATTGTTTTGTTGGATCGAACCCCGTCAACGGCGATTTTGATTCCCGAGGCGTCACGAAGTTTTTGTTCCTGCAAAGTAAATTCACGAATTTCTCATTCAAACATTGAGTCGTAATTAGCCGTCTTCTTCAGTTACGAGGCACTGGGCAAACATCTAACGTTAAGACCTTGAAACCTAAGCTTCCAAAAGTTGGTGATGGTCTTCACAAACTGATTTTTTTTTCGATAGACAAGACCGTCAAAGAAATTGCATAGACATTAGAAATATCCAAGAAATAACGCTTTGTTTTTAATTCACGCGAAGTTTGGCCTGACTGGTAATATTAGCCGTTTCTTTATAAGGAAACATTTCTGAGAAACATTTTTGGTATAGTTTAAGGAACTTGAAAATTGATATGTAAATTGTGCAGAACTGCAAAAAGAATAACTGCATGTATGTCTCTTTATTATACTCTTCTGAAACAAGCCGATAACTTTTTATCAACACTCGCAGACATACTACTGAATTCTATGCATACATTACTTCATATAAAATTATATGGCATTGGTAATACTATCCGTTTCCTAGGAGACATTCGGCTTTTATTAACCTAGCAGACATTTCTAATATCGGATAAAAATGATAAAAATCTCCCTCATAAAAATTTTTTTTAAGTAAAATATGTTTCTTACGTACAATAATTGTTATTACTTTGTTGATGAGGGTTTCCTTCTTAACTTTTATAGAACGCCTTAAGTAATGGCATTAATGAATGGTATTCCTTTCAAATACGTTTGTATAATGAGTTTAAATTTTGCTTCGTGGGGAAATATGTTTACCTTGCGTTTTGATTTGAATTAAAGTTTACTGTTATACAATAAGAGTGTAGTGGTGCTGTAAGTATTGTTGGCTAGGGTCACCGTGAATATAATAAAGAAGGAAGGTTGTGTTCTTGTAAAACAACACCCCACATGAATAATGCACAACAAACACGAGAGAAAAATAATCAAGCTCAGTGAACATTAATAAAATATTGTATTATTAACAATGATATACAAATATCAACAATAGTATAAAGAAAGTTGTTCCCCTTTTTCTGTAATAAAAAGGGTAAGTTTACCTAATAAATGTTGAGTACAAAATTGAATGTAATTTAATTACAAAGTTCAATTGAAGTCTTAGCTAAATAAAGAATAGTTCCACGGTGTTTTATCAGTATAGAAAAATTTAATGTTCATGAGTGATATCAATATGAATTAGTATGATTACTCGATTGAGTGATAATTAAGAATTAAAATGTCAGTATAGCGCCGTGCCTTATTTTCCAAGAATTGAACTGCTACTGCTACTATGTTGGCAAACAGCGAGAGTCTTTATATAACAAGTTTTAGGCTCCGGATGGCTTGGCGCCAAAATATAGAAGAGATACTAAAATACGCGATTGGTCAGGAAATGGACCAATCCGTGATTTTAGAGAAAATTTTGAATTACTTGCGATGGTTAAATTGTCCTATAATAAGTATCATGTATTATTTACCCAATGACAATAAAGAAAACGGAGGTGTGGCACATGTAAGTCATTCCCACAAGAGTAACTTCATACTTCAAAATGACTAAAGATCAGTAATCAGGACTAATCAAGGAAAAATAAATAGTATTTCTGATGTAACAAATCGCGAAGAGAGAACTAAAGGAGAAAAACTGAGTTGTATGAATACACAACAGGTGTGTGGAAAGAGAAAATGAAAAAAAAGAAAACAGCAGGGGTGGGTATTTAGTAGGTTAATGATGGAAATCAAATGCATTAGCAGAAATATAGTTTGAATAATAAATGGGGTATGAAGAGAGAAGTTTTGGGATTCTAATAGTCACGTGGATGAAAAAGATGGATGGAGAAGTATAGGAAAGGCGGAATCAAGGAAAAAAAATTGTTCAAGAGATATAATTTTTATGTCGTTTGATTTTTGGATTTTAATCGAAAACAAGTTGACTGCCTGAATGTTACAATACTAGAAAAATGAAAGAAAATCTGAATGAAAGCTTAAGTATATATATTTTTTCATACTTTTTAATTTCTTGTCGTTCATTTTCTTACGTTTTTCTGCCGTTTATTTTTCTGAGAAGAAGAAACGTTGACTTAGATTTTATATGAATACGGGTCAGTGTTGATAAGTTTTATTCATCATATTTCTCATTCAAATAACGGTATTTACAATACATGGAGTAACGATGTTTGAGGCTAGTCTGATTGTTTATTAGTAGTGGGGTTCAATACTCATTTGTTGCGCCATAAAATATTCAACAGTAAATAACCCAAAGAATTGACAAGTTGCAAATTCAACCAGCAATATTTATCTTGCTTGCGACAACGTTTATGTAAATATCTGCACAATTCATTGGTTGTTTTGCCATTCAGTGTGTCGTCAAATTTTGATGTGGATATCATTTGACTAAAGAAAATATATTGCGATGGAACATTACGGTTTCCTTGTAGTTTTACGCTCATATTTCATCTGAGAAGCCCCCCAAATTCTTTGTCTATTGAAGAATTTATCTGGAGACTGGAAGACCAGGATATGATTCGTGTTTCCATGAGTGATTCCATCTGATTTTATTTAACTAACTTTTTCTTTTACATATATATATATATATATATATATATATATATATATATACCAACTTTGTTTTCTTACTTGAATGTTCCATTTTCTATTAAACGTAAGTACGTGTAATAGAAACAGCTCCTGGAAATTACATATATTTATTTTTTTATTCTCGAGATGTATCCAGAGTGTTTCTACGAAAGTATCACTATAGAATCGCTTATATCGCAAACCAAGTCAAACTTTCACATTGGGCTTCCTGTAGAAAACTTATAATTGCATACCTTTATTGATCACTCGTGTCTTTCCACATTGACTGAATAAGTGAGATTTTTTTCTGACAAAGATAAAGTTTCATTTTATGTACTGGAGTAAATTTGATAAATTCGATAACGAAAAAAATATTAGGTAAAAATGACTTAAAATCAAAACAAAAAGAAGCAAGGTGATATTTTCTCATGTATCTTAGATAGACGATGAGAGACAGTACGCAGATTACATAAAAATTCATGACATAATTAAAAACAAAAAACTCTAGTGAGTGCGAAATAATAACTGTCTTCACTCTAACGTACGAATTCGGAAGACTGAAGAAAAAAGAAAGGAATTCGCTAGCCTATGTGAAATTTTCTTTGAATCACTGAAAACTTTCAGTTCATAGAAATTGACGGTGATTTGAAAAAAAGGATGAAAGTAATTCGCGACCTTATGTGAAATTGTTTATAGACCAATGGAAACCTTGCCTTCACATAAATTAGCCGAAAAAAAGAAAAGCAATTAGCGAGGTTCCGCGAAATTCTTGGTATAAAATGAGGAGAAAAGTGAAATTATTCCATTGAGATTGTCCGAAGTCATGTGAAAGATTTCGTTTCAGTTCGTTGCCACCAGCATTAAAGTTCTGCCTGTGCAATATTACTCGCATCTTATATTATCGGCATCTAACCAGCAATCCAGGATAGCTAAATATTCCAAACTCACTCTTCGTTTACTTTTGAACGCATGAAAACCATATATCTCTTTGGCGAGCAACACATTCTCTGACCATTGTATTAAACATTTTTAAATATTATTTTGTGTCAGATAATTTAATCTTTTGTATAGACATTTCCTCTTCATGACAATAAGTTAAAACTACGGATTTTAAAAATTCTCATTTATTTTCTTGAAAAGAGCTGATAGTAGTTCAGGCGTATAAATTCATGAATAAATTTCTTATCCTTTCTTTTT